CCCAATGTAAATGATGAGTTAATGGGTACAGGATACTAACATGGCACATGTATACAAATGTAACAAACCTGTACATTGTGCACATGTACCCTAGAACATAAAGTATAATTTTTAAAAATTGGGGTTTGGGAACCTCTGGCTAGATTTCAGAGCATGTATGCAAATGCCTGGATGTCCAGGCAGAAGTTTGCTGCACAGGTGAGTCTCTAATGGAGAACCTCTGCTAGGATAGTGTGGAAGGGAAATATGGGGTGCTGGGGCACTGCCTTGCAGAACTATGAGAAGAGGGCCACCATGCTGCTTTTAGGGTCCCATCTCTACCCTTGGCCTTTGGGAGTCTGATTATTATCTTCTTTGGGTTAAATCTGCTTGGTGTTCTATTACCTTCCTGTACTTGCATATTGATATGTTTCTCTAGGTTTGGGAAGTCCTCTGTTATTATCCCTTTGAATAAACTTTCTACCCCTATTCTCTTTCTCTACCTCCTCGTTAAGGCCAATAACTCTTAGAATTGCCCTTTTAAGTCTATTTTCTAGATCCTGAAGGCATGCTTCATTGCCTTTTATTATTTTTTTCTTTTATCTCCTCTATGTTTTTTCAACTGGCCTGTCTTCAAGTTGACTAATTCTTTCTTCTGCCTTATCAATTCTGCTGTTAAGGGAATTCTGATGCATTTTGGAGTATGCCAATTGGATTTTTCAGCTCCAGAATTTCTGCATGATTCTTTCTAATTATTTCAATCTCTCTGTTAATTTTTTCTGATAGAATTCTAAATTTCTTCTCTATATTACCTTGAATTTCCTTGCGTTTCCTCAACACAACTATTTAAAATTTTCTGTTTGAAAGGTCACATATCTGTTTCTCCAGGATTGGTCCCTGGTCCCTTATTTACTTCATTTGGTGAGGTCGTGTTTTCCTGTATGGTGTTGATGCTAGTAGATGTTCTTTGGTATCTGGGCATTGAAGAGTTATGTATTTATTTTAGTCTTCACTCTCTGGGCTTATTTGTTAGCCATCCTTGTAAGGCTTACCAAATATTTGGAAAGACTTGAGTGTTGTGATCTAAGCTGTATCTGCTCTAGGGGGCACCCCACACCCAGTAATGCTATGGTTCTTGCAGAACCTCGTAGAGGTACCACCCTGATGTTTGGGACAAGATCTGAGAGAATTCTCTGGATTATCATGCAGAGACTCTTGTTCTCTTCCCTTACTTTCTTCCATATATACAGAGTAATTCTGTGTGTTTGTTCTGAGGTATCTAAAGCTCGGGGCAGAGTGACACAAACACCCATGTGACACCACCACTATGACTGCATTGGGTCAGACTTGAAGCCACCACAGTGCTGGGTCTCAACCAAGGCCTGCTGTAACCAGTCCCTGGCTACTGCCTATGTTTGCTCAAGGCCCAAGGGATCTACAATCAGCAGGTAGCAAAGATAGTTACGCCTGTGTCCTTCTGTCAGAGCAGTGAGTTCCCCCAGTCTCTGTGTGGTTCCAGAAGTGCTGTGCAGGAATCAAGGGCTAGAGTCAAAAACCTTAGAAATGTACCTGGTATTCTACTGGATTACAGCTGAGCTGGCACTCACACCACACAACAAATCCTTCCCACTCTTCTCTTCCTTGTCGAAAGACAGAGGAGCCTGACCTCACAGTCACCACCACCCCAGGCCACATGGAGTACTGCTAGACTCCCATCTATATTCCCTTAAAGCCCAAGGTTTCTTAAGTCATCTTGTGATGAATGCTGCCTGGCCTGGGACACACCATTTATATTAGTGGGCTCCCTATTGGACCAGGGCGGGTTCAGAAAATGCCATCCAAGAGTCAAGTCCTGGAATCACAAACCGCAATAGTCTGCTTGGTGTTCCACTGCACTGTGGCCGTGCTGGCACCTAACGTGCAAGACAAAGTCTCCATTACTTTTCCTTCCACTTATCTCAAACAGGAGGTGTCTCTCTCCATAGCCACCAGAGCTGGGAATGTCCCAAATCTTACCTGAAGCCAGCAAGTCTCAGAGGCTCACCCAAGGCCCTTGATGTACCTGGCTATCAATGCTGGTTATTTGGGGCCCAAGGTCTCTTCAGATGGCAGGTGTTGAATGCTGCCAGCACTGGGTCCTTTCTTTGAAAGCACTGGGTTGCATTCTTGCCCAGAGTCTGTCTAGAAATGCCGTATGGGAGCTAGGGATTGAAATGGGGGCCTCCTGACTCTGATCATTGCCCTATCTTGCGGTGGCTGAGCTGGTATCCAAGATGCATTATGAAATCCTTCCCACTCTTCTTCCTTCTCCTCTCCTCAAGTGGAAGAAAGGGGTCTCCTTTGGAACCTCAAGCTGTGCAGCCTGGGGTCAGGGGAGAGGTGATGTCAATATTCCGCTTTGCTGCCCCAGCTTGTGTCTCAGTATGTCATCTGTCCCCTAATCCAGTGCCTCTGGGCCTATTACTGCACTTCCCATAGCCTATGAGGGGCAGTCCTTATGGCCTAGACTTCCTTTTCAAGTTTACTTGGAGACACAGAGCATGGTAGCCCTTGGTGGCAAGGTTTGCAGGCACTCAAGTCAGTTCTGCTGTGATCAGAGATTCCCCTGTGGCACTAGGCCTTCCCTATGAGTTGCAGCTCTTATGGCCTAGACTGCCATTTAAGTTTATTTGGAGACATGGAGTATTGTAGCCCTTGGTATTGAGATTTTCCAGCACTCAAGTCAGGATTGCTAGGATCGATGATTCTCCCGTGGCTAGGCTGGTTTAAATGCTCCCTCCAAGGATGGGCATCAAATGAGTTTGGTCTGGGTTTTCTTTCTGCTCTAACAGGATAGCACTGAGTTCAGTGGCTCACAATTGCTGTGTTCTCCCTCCCGCAGCACCCAGAGAAGCTTTCAGCACCATGCCTCCACTGCCAGGGTTTGGAGACCAGTAGTGTCTGTGATTCACAACTATTTTTTTTCTATCTCTTCAGTGCCTCTTTCAGCAATATGAGGTTGAAACCAGGTTAAAGGGTTTTCACCTGATTGTTGGTTCTTATGAACATGTTTTTTGATGCAGAGATAGTTGTTTTGTTTGTTTTTGTTTGTGGTTTTTTTTTGAGACAGAGTTTTGCTCTTGTCCAGGCTGGAGTACAATGGTGCGATCTTGGCTCACTGCAACTTCCGCCTCCCGGGTTCAAGCGATTCTCCTGCCTCAGCCTCCCAAGTAGCTGGGGTTACAGGTGCCCACCACCACACCCGGCTGATTTTTTTGTATTAGTAGAGACGAGGTTTCACCATGTCGGACAGGCTGGTCTCGAACTCCTGACCTCAGATGATCCACCCGCTTTGGCCTCCCAAAGTGCTGGGATTACAGTCGTGAGCCACTGCGCCCAGCCAGAGATAGTTGTTAACTTGGTGTCCTGGTGTGAGGTGGGGAAGAGAGAATGATCCGTGAAGCCTTCTACTCCACCATTTATCTCCAACCGCTCCTCAGTGTGTGTGTTTTGTTTGTGTGTTTGTTCGTTGTTTTTTGTTTTGTTTTGTTTTGTTTTTTTGAGATGGGGTCTCACTCTATCACCCAGGTTGGAGTACAGTGGCACAATCTCAGTTCACTGCAAGCTTTGTCTTCCAGGTTAAAGTGATCCACCTACCTCAGCCTCCCAAGTAGTATACACCAACACACTCAGCTAATTTTTTGTATTTTTAATAGAGATCAGGTTTCACCATGTTGCCCAGGCTGGTCCCTAACTCCTGAGCTCAGGTGATCCACCCCCCTCAGCCTACAAAGTGCTAGGATTATGGGCATGAATCACTGTGCCAGGTTTCATTGCGTGTTTTAAATTCAGTGGCCCAGCAACATCTGACCTCAATCTGTTTCTACAATAAACACTGATTTGCTAAACAACATGGGGCTTCCTAGAGGCCCCGTATCCTAGACTTTTACCCTGAAGAAAGAAAAATGAGAAACCTGGGGAGTTACCTCATCTACCATTTGTGCTGAGTCCAGGAATCTGCACCCTTTCCCCTAATGCTTTCTGTGTTGAGTCCACACTTGCGACATCATCAGAAAACTAGACACTGAGGATGAGGACCAGGTCATTCAAGGGAATTTCTGTCCAGCACACAGCATGGGCTCAACAAAGGGAGGGAAAATACGAAAGATGAATCTAGCAGTGACTCTCACTCCCTGTCACTGGAGTAGTGGGTGTGATGGGACATGGTGGGGGACCTGAGTGATGGCACAGGGAAAGTGCAATGACTTTGAAGTGAAGGTCAGTCACTAAGGGCCACAGAGAGGCCACAGGTGAGGGGAGGAGGCTTCAGTTGCCCCAGGGAGGGGATCTGGGGCCTGTCTGTCAATATGGTTGTTGAGGTCACCTTGCTGGCTTGTCCTTGGATCTGTTTCTGTTACCCAAGTCTACTCCAGGACCCTTGGAAAGACAACAATTGCCCCTCACCTTGGTGGCAAGAAGGGATGAGAGAGGGCAGGGATAGTCCAACTTCTCTCTTCAAATCCATTCTCAGGCCATGCCGCTCATCCCCTGATATTCAGGAAGGCACACACCTCTTCCTCCCACTGCTCCCCAAGGCCACCCAAATCTAGGGAACGGGCATCTTCAGGAGTGAAAGGGTAAAAACTCTGACACCCACTGTGTAAGTCACTCCATTCCTCCCTCCCAGCAGCTTAGGAGTTCCCATCCCCATTCCCTCTTTCCCCCTTCTTTGCCTCTAAGATCAGACTTCCCTGTTGGGATCTTATTCTCCTTCTAGCAGAGAATTCCAATATTAGGAGGAGATCTATTCCTGCTCACTCTTTTCTGCCTTCGACTTGTAGTCCTAGAGAGGCTGACAGTGACCTGGATTTCTGGATGGAGTGATTCTGGGTCCTGAGCAAAGGCGAGAACCCAGACTCAGAGAGGGATTGCAATCTCATGTGTCTGGTATCCAGGTGTAACTTCACAAGAACATTCAAATCACTGCACATGGGTGAAACTATCAACTTTTCAACATCAAAACAATCAAAGGAAGTGCATGCTTTCAAGACAAATAAAAAACTGATTTATTTGTCCTCTGCACAGATCCCTACTGAGGACACCACCTTCCAGCCACTGCTGCTGGGATAACTCGTGAGGCCTATGGGGCCACGTAATGGTTGCGCTCCCGGTCCCAACACCATGTATACAGGGATCTTCAGAGAAGGGGTCCCCTCACGTCTCCCAAGCCATTTCCACCCCATGGCCCAGACTGGCCCAGAATTAACACATAGCCTGATAAGGAAGCAGGAGGTAATGGCATGTGCTGAGGCTCCTTCCACCTGCTCACACCCACCCCAGTTGTTAGCACAAGAGGCTTGGACCCTTGAGTGGCCACCTAAGGTGACAATGCACCCAGGAGCACTATTTGGTTCCTGTTTCTCAGCTGCTTAACTTGAAACTTTCCTACCAACATCTTCAGAGAGCAGAATTATCTCCCAGGAGAATCATGGACAGGAGGTAGTGAAGAAAGTGAGATCAGTGCCCTACTGACCTGACAACGGCCTCCCTCCACTTTATTTCTCTCCCAAGGATACATCACCCCTCATAGCACACCCCAAATCCATGCAACCATGCACCTGATCCTTGGCTTCATAGAGCCTTGGCTGGGCTTGGAGAACCCCAGTAGATAATGGCATCCACCAGGAAGGTGGGCATGTAGCTCATGGGGAGGTAGAGAAGCTTGGCATCCCAGCCAGCTGAGTAGCGAGTGCGGGGGTGGCAGGCAATCAGCGCATGCTCCATGCAGTTGGTCACCAAGGACAAATCCTGTGTGCAAGTCTGCTCCAATTGTTCAGCTGATTTCTTATCTGTTAAGAATGAGAAATGATCCATGTGTATTTCCACCTGTAACCGCTCCTGCTTTGGATTTAACTTAGAGTGGAAAGGGTCTAAGAACTCATGCCACCCCACAACCCCCAGTCAAGCATTGTCTCAAATCTCTTTTATCCAAATTCCCTGAGTTGGAGCCCATCCATGGGAAAGTAACAAGTGTTCCACACTAAATCATGTTTGTCTCTCTTCAGGAATATCTGGACTGCATAAATGATGGTCTCCTCCCACAGAAGTCTCAGCACATGTAAATCAGCTATCTCTAATGCCAGCTTGTTATCAGTTACCAATGCCTCCCTTTCTGGCTACACTTTGCTCCTCAATAATGATATTGGGTTCAGATAGACACTGGTCCCAAGTTCTGAGAAGCCTGGATACTTGCTTTTCATGACCAGTTGAACCCCATCATGGAAATGGGGCTAAAGGTCTCCACTTTGTGGGGAAGGAAGAGCCTGCAGATCAAACTCTAATGGTCTTCAGACACCAATGGTAGACCAGGGATTCCACATGAGGGTTTGCTTCTCTCCCCACTCTCCACAGCTTACTCACAGGATGCAACAAACTTCTCGCCATAGATCTGCTTGACCTCTGGGCTGGACCGGTCCCAAATCTCCAGGAAGCTTTTTAAGAATCTCTCTTTACTGGTCACAGCAGTCTTGAAATAGCCAGGCTCAATCATAGCCACCTTCACCCCAAAGTAGGAGAGTTCCCTCCTGCAAGAAAGAGAAGCAGAGGGGAAAGATTTCAGGGGTCATGGAAGGTAAAACACAAACAATAAAAGTAAAACTATGATAGCACAACATATGAGGACAACGGGTGAGATAGAAAGCTTGGAATATTTATTTTCCAGCAATCAAGGGGTCATAGTTATGATGGAATCATTCCCTCTGTATGAGGTTTCCATATTTTGCACACCTGAGCTTATTAGCCCTAAATCCTACCAATTCCAAAGCAAGGCAGCACCTTAGTGCTGTCTCCTCTTATGTACTTCACATACAATGGATCACCAGAATTCCCACATTTTGCCTCCTCTCCAGTCCTCAGTCCCCTCCCTCCTTTCCCTGCCCCAGGAATCTCCCTGGCCTCTGAGCTGGGTGATGGCAGCTGTCCTCTAAGAAGCATCTGTCTTCAGTCTGGCTCCCCACTTTCAGCCACTGGGCTTCCTGCAGTCAGTGGGTGTCTAGAAGCTGATTAGACCAAGGAGCAAATCCCTTTTTGGGGGGGTTCCACTCCCAACAGCATAAAGCACAGCTCCTGTTCAGGACCCACAGGCCATCAAGGAGCCCACCTATGCCCACCTGCCCAGCATCCCCCACCAGGCCTGGCCTTGACCTTCACCACAAGAGGACTCTGCAGTACATGCAGGTCACTAATGCTCACCCTGGGCCTGGGCTGATGGCATTCCTTCATCCAGGATCCCTTCACAGCCTTCCTTACCAGGCTGCCAGGTGGAGTTCTCAATCCCCAGCTTGAGTTCTCAATCCCCAGCTCAGACAGAATCTCCAAGACTCTCCCCAACTCAGATGGGTACCATGGCCAGCAAGGTTGACTTGGTAACCAACCTTATAAGCATTGGCAGCTGATTCTAGATCTCTTGTCCCTCTCTCAGGTATCAAGATTTAGTTCAAAGACAAAACCTTTTTGTTGATTAAGGATGGACTTTTTTGTCACTTAGACAAGGGCCTAAAACATGTGTTGTGTGGACTCAGATGCTCTACCCATTGTCAAAGCGGCTCTGGACATGAATTCTGCTGGGAAAGGCCATCTTCTGCATGCTGTCTTTGGGCTCCAGAGAGCCACGAAGGAATGGCCTCAGTGCTTGAAGCATTTCTCTCCCTAGAGAGGAAGAGCCCCAAAGCCAGGCACCCATCTCCTGGTGTGGAAATATCTTTCCCTGTTTCTGACTCAGTGAGTGCTCCTGCATCTGCATGAGCATGTGTGTCTCTGCGGCACTAAGGCATGCCCCAGCTTTACAAGTATTTCAGATTCCAGGTAGGAGGGGTCGGGGTCCATCTACTACAGCAAGAGAGGGGTGTGAGCAAGCCACATGCCCATTGTCAGCTGCCGGGAAAGCCTCCCTGGCCAGGGGACCAACACACACTGTTGTACTGATCTTTCTCTGCTCCTTCTCTAGGGTGCAAAGCATTCTTCCATCCAGTGCTGACTGCCTGGCCTGCCTTTGTGGCTCCAATACCAAGGTGCAATGGGAAGAAGTGTTTAGGGTCCTTCCCTGGGATTAGTCATTGATACACAGTATTCTCCTGTCCTTGGCTTGGGCACCTCAGTACTGTGTTCCTCTTGGCAGGATCAGAAGCCAAAGGTCCAGGTCCAATTCTGCCTCTGGTAGTTTCTGACCAGGAGATCCATCCAGGGAAGAGGTATCATTCAAGAAACTCTCTGACCTGAGGCCCCTCCTGCCACCCAGCACTCAGGAAGGTGCTTCCCAGTGAATGGCCAGCCCAATCCAGAAAGCAGAAGATGAGGGTGCCGCACATGAAGACAGAGAGGGATCTCATGAAAGGGCATTACAGGCTGGGATTCAAGGACCTCCCTGGAAAAGACTTCCCCACAAAGACAGGATCAGAAAGACTAGGGCGGGCCCCGTCCCAGACCCATACCTGAGGGAGTCGGAGAAGGCTTCCACGCCATACTTGGAGATGCAATAGCCTCCACCAAAAAGTGACACCCGGCCACAGATACTGGAGACGTTGACCACACGGCCCCTGGCCTTCCTCACTAAGGGCAGCAGGCTCAGAGTCACGTCGATCACCCCCAACAAGTTCACGTCCAATATGGTCACAAAGTCCTGCTTGGTCAGCATCTCATTGGGGGCCGCAGGCAAGGAGATGCCAGCATTATTCACCAGGCCCCAGAGTCCTGGGACAGTGGGAAGATGAGAGAGCATCACTGTGTTGTGCCTGTGCAGGTGGACAGTTAGGATGCAACTCACATCCCAATAAAGTGAAGGCAGAATGACAGGTGTGGAATGGGAAGGAGGGTAAAACAAGCACCACAGTATCTGCAGGGGTGGGGGCTGGACATTCAGCAGCTGGTGGGCCATGGAACCCAGTTCTTTTTCCATTTACTCTTCAGGGCCCAGCCCATTGCCTGAAAGACAATAAGCTATTACCTCTATTTAAGAATTGCATGAAATCATGTTAAAGAACTATTGTCCATGTCTGGAAACATGAAGACCAATGTTTGGTTAGTTAAACATGAATGCTGTCGATGTTACAGACATTCACCTGCATTTTCAGGTATGCTAACACCTTATATAGTGAGTGTTCCGCAACCATCTGTTCATGGAATAAGAGACATGAGAGGGGGAGCATGAGGGAGAGAGGAAAGACAGAAAAAGACAGACCTGAAATCCTAGGCTTGGGGGAACTTGGAGAACATCCTGTGTTTGATCTCAGGGCACCGGTCTTGAAACATCCTGCATCAATATCCAGTAACATTTTTATAGAAAGCACTGGGGAATTCCAATGCACAGGCTTTGGGAAGAAGGCAAGGTTGCATCACCCACTCAGTACACAGACTCCACCCTCTGCCCCAGAAAATGTCACCCTCTCCGCCTACTGCATCAGAAGCCCACTCTTCATCCTTCCATCAGTCCCAAGTTCACTCAGCTCTGGGAAAATCTCTCTGGAAGACGCAAATACACAATCCCCAAGACTTCAAGTCAATAGAGTTTTCAACCCACAGAACCAGGGGACAGGAGCACAGGGTCCCTTGAGTCTGGGCAGGGGTGGCAGTTGCTGATCTGGAAGGGTTGACCTAGGCATATGAATCCATCCCCTGCTCAGTAACAGGCCCTGCCCTGATGCAAATGTAGATTCCTCCACCCAGACATCTCACACTTATAGAGATGGCCAATAAAAGTCCACCAAGACGACATTTATGATGATAAAAAGGTGGAAGGAATTTCATATCCAACCACTCAGTATGGTTTACATAGGTAAGGCTATTGGAATGATACAGTATTCTAAATAATTAGATACAATTTTATAAAAATGGTCATTATGGTGTAAAAAATGTTCATCTTCTCCAGAGAATCTAAGCTGACTGAAACTAAGAACAAAGTATAAAATCCTAAATATGTATAATTGTAAAAAGGACTTATGTATGGATGACAATTTCAGGGAAACTTTTGTTTTCATCCTTATTCTTTTCAGTATTTTCAACAAAGATCATGTTCTGCATTTATTGTTACATAAAATAAATCCATGTTTCTTTCTTCCCCTGTAATAAGACAGATGAATTAGTGTAGTGAAAAGAAGAAAGAAAGAAAAAGTAACCCCTTACTAGTTCTGCCTTCCTTAAGCAGTCTTTATGCTGATACCCTCCTCTGAAGATGGAGATGGTCGTAGCTCTTGGCGGATGCTGATAGGCCCTAGCAAGAACAAGGTAAACTGCTGGGAACACAAACCTGGCTCCAGCACAGCTACAGCCTCCGTGCACCCTTGCAGCCCCATGCTCCCTTCTCAACCATGCTCCAGCAAGTCTCCAGATCTCTAACCCAGGCTCTCAGCATCAAACAATCCATGACTTCTGCTTAGACAGGAGAGAGAGGATAGAGAGGAATTCTGGAGAGAAAATCTCATCAGGGTAAACTCTCCCCAAGACTATACACCTCCAGTGTCGGGATAGGTTAAGGATTGGAAAGAGATGGGGCTCAGGCCAGCCTGATTAGTGAGAAATACTAGAAAGCTACTGTCACTTCAACCTGGAAAGACACTGTAGAAATCTTCCCAGGGTGCAGACAGGAGGTGGTCCCTTCAAACAGAGGGAAGACACAGACAGACTTGAGAAATCTGGGTGGTTACCTCTTTCCCCTACGCGTTCCTTCACCCACTGGGCGGCTGCAGCAACACTCTCTGTCTTGGTGACATCCAGGGTCACCGTCTCCAGCCTGTCTGAAGTCTGGTCCCTCAGCTGCTCAGCTCCTTTCTCTGTCAGACACGCAGCCAGCACCCGCAAGCCTCGTGCGTCCAGCTGTCTGGCCAGCAGTTTCCCGAAGCCAGAGTCACAGCCCGTGATGAACACATACCTATCTCTCAGGTGGCTCAGCACCTGCCTCTCCCGGTACCAATGCAGAAGGTAGTACAGGCCCGCGAAAACTGCCAGATAGAGCCACATGGCTTTGCAGAGGACAGACACAGACAGGCTGTGGGGGAACCCAGAGTCTGGCCTCTGTTGACACAGGAGGATTTAAGAACACAGAGGGCTGTGGTAGGCAGGGAAGCCCTCAGGCATTTTGGTCAGAGTCCTCACTTTCCTCCCTGATGACTGTCTTTCTACAACATATTTATTCTGGCCCCACCTCTCTGCTCTTTGAACTGCTTCTGCAGTACTCATGCACACCTTTGCACACCCCAGGTCCTGCCCAGTAGGAAGATATTATCACTTGGCAATGTGTCCCTAGTCTCCTGATTTCTCTTGCCTTGCTGTGCCCACTACATGTGTGCTGTGTCCATGAAGGAGCACACACATATATTCACACAGGAACACACACAGAGCCCACACAGGCTCACACACAGCTGCCCACACACACTCTCCATGGAAAACACATCCCTTTGCTGTAAGTACAGGGGTCAAAACTGTCTCTACAAATCTCCTACTCCAACACCCCTGGTCCGTGACCTTCTGAACATAGAAAGACCTTATTGGGTAGCTACACACGGTTTCCAGGCAGATTAGGTGGAAATCCCTCTCTGAGCCTGAGTTTCCTCATCCTGCTCAGCACCTTAGAATACCAATCACTCCTCAGAAAACTAGGGCACGGTCAGGCTCTCTAGGATGAGAAGGAGTAGACAAAGGGTGGGCAGGAACAGGTTCCCTCCTGTTATAGTAGTTTTTTGGGGCAGAAAGGTTGCAGGATCCTATGGGGGTGTCCAACCTCAGAGGTAAAGAAAGCACGGAGAGGATGGGCAAATAGGAACAGCTCCAGTCTGCAGCTCCCAGCGTGATCAATGCAGATGGGAGATTTCTGCATTTCCAACTGAGGTACCTGGTTCATCTCACTGGGACTGGTTGGACAGTGAGTGCAGCCCACGCAGGGCAAGCTTAAGCAGGGCAGGGCATTGCTTCACCTTGGAAGCATAAGGGGTTGGGGGGATTTCCCTTTCCTAGCCAAAGAAAGGCATGACGGACTGTACCTGGAAAAACAGGACACTCCTGCACAAATACTGTGCTTTTCCAACTGTCCTAGCAAACGGCACACCAGAAGATTGTATCCCATGCCTGGCTCAGCGTGTCCCACGCCCATGGAGCCTTGCTCACTGCTAGTACGGCAGTCTGAGATTGATCTGTGAAGCAGCAGCCCAGCAGGAGGATGGTTGTTCACCGTTGCTGAGGCTTGAGTAGGGAAACAAAGTGGCCAGGAAGCTTGAACTGGGTGGAGCCCATCACAGCACCACAAGGCTTGTTGCCTCTATAGACTCCACCTCTGGGGGCAGGGCATAGCTGAACTAAAGGCAGTAGAAACGTCTACAGACTTAAACATCCGTGTCTGACAGCCTTCACAGCCTCCATGATCGTGATGGTCCCCCGGTCCCACTTCTCTCTTTCAAACTGTCTTTTCTCAATCCTTTGACTCTGCCAGACTTTGTCACCCCCATGACCTGGTGTTGGGTCTGGCAACCCCAACATTCGTGGCACCCAACGTGGGGCAACAAAGACCCTGGTGAAGGAACACCAGGGCATGTGAGAGCAAAGGACGCATCATCAAAGGACACCCGAAGACGTCTAAAAGAAGCTTGGCAGGAAAGCTTAGCACTCAGAAGAACCAGAGTAACAATGGGACAAAGTGAAAGCAGACATTCTGCTTATTTAAATTTCTTAAAGCATTTTTTTATGAAGAGGGGGAGTGAAAGTTAGTACTCAGAATTTGTTAACACTCTTTAGTGCAGTAAAGCAGTTTTGCCCATGGTTCAGGAACAAGGGACTATGGAGTTAGATGAATGTGAGAGAATTGGCAGAGATTTTTAAAAAGCATATAAAGGGTAGAATAGTTCCTCCTGCTTCCAAGATGGCCAAATAGGAACAGCACCAGTCTGCAGCTCCCAGTATGAGTGATGCAGAGGACAGGTGATTTCTGCATTTCCAACTGAGGTACAGGGTTCATCTCTCTGGGACCAGTCAGACACTAGGTACAGCACACGGAGCAGAGTGGTGCATCACCTCACCCGGGAAGCACAAGGGATCAGGGAATTCCCTTTCCTAGCAAAGGGAAACTGTGACAGATGGTACTTGGAATATTGGGACACTCCCACCCTAATACTGCAATTTTCCAATTGCCTTAGCAAATGGCACACCAGGAGATTATATCCCACGCCTGGCTTGGAGGGTCCCATGCCTACAGAGCCTTGCTCACTGCTAGCACTGCAGTCTGAGATCGAACTGCAAGACAGCAGCAAGGCTGAGAGAGGGGTGTCCACCATTGCTGAGGTAAACAAAGCGACCAGGAATCTCGAACTGGGTGGAGCCCACCACAGCTCAAGGAGACCTGCCTGCCTCTATAGACTCCACTTCTGGGGGCAAGGCATAGCTGAACAAAAGGCAGCAGAAACTTCTGCAGACTTAAACATCCCCATCTGACAGCATGGAAGAGTGTAGTGGTTTTCCCAGCATAGATTTTGAGATCTGAGAATGGACAGACTACCTCCTCAAATGGGTCCCTGACCCCCAAGTAGCCTAACTGGGAGACACTTCCCAGTAGCGGCTGACTGGCAACTCATACAGCTGGGTGCCCCTCTGAGACAAAGCTTCCAGAGGAAGGATCAGGCAGCAACATCTGCCGTTCTGCAATATTTGCTATTCTGCAGCCTCTGCTGGTGATACCCAGGAAAACAGCGCCTGGAGTGTACCTCCAGCAAACTCCAACAGACCTGCAGCTGAGGGTCCTAACTGTTACAAGGAAAACTAACAAACAGAAAGGACATCCACACCAAAATCCCGTCTGTACATCACCATCATCAAAGACCAAAGGTAGATAAAATCACAAAGATGGGGAGAAACCAGAGCAGAAAAGTTGAAAATTCTAAAAATCAGTGCACCTCTTCTCCTCCAAAGGAATGCAGCTCCTCACCAGCAATGGAACAAAGCTGGATGGAGAATGACTTTGACAAGTTGAGAGAAGAAGGTTTCAGATGATCAGTAATTACAAACTTTTCCAAGCTAAAGGAGGATGTTCAAACCCATCACAAAGAAGCTAAAAACCTTGAAAAAAGATTAGATGAATGGCTAACTAGAATAAACAGTGTAGAGAAGTCCTTAAATGACCTGATGGAGCTGTAAACCATGGCATGAGAACTACGGATGCATGCACAAGCTTCAGTAGATGATTTGATCAAGTGGAAGAAAGGGTAACAGTGATAGAGGTCAAATGAATGAAATAAAGTGAGCTGATGAGCTGAGGAACTAATGACTAATTGAATTTCTCCGGTATAATCAGAATCAATTATTCCCATATGCACAGTGACAACTTTCAAACTTAGACTAGACTTTCCAAGTAATAAACCAACTGTTTAACCCCCAAAGGGACCTTTTTTGATGACTCTCCAGGAAGCAAGCAGATGGGAATTGTACTGCAGAGGTCTACGACGGCACTGCCTACTGTGGCAGGGGACAATTGTTGTACATTTGTAAGGGCACTGGCTGTGCTGGATATGCCTCGGTTTGTTGAGGGGCCCAAGGCAGGCCACTCTTCCCATATCCCGAGACAGGTTGTCCATATTTGCTAATTTTACAATGACACTGACTTGCCCAGTGATTGCCTTTTTCACAATGGAGGCATACACTGGGGCTTTTCTGTTGTTTGATGGTAGTAGCTCTCACCTTTTGGCTTCCTTTTCTGCATTCCTTTTTTGTGTGTCCAAATTGCACACAATTGAAACAAGAGCCTGAGAAATGGGGCATATTCTTTCTGACTTTTAATCCAGCCATAGCTTGAGCTAAAAGAGTAGCCTTATGTTAAGTTACCTCCAATGCCATTGCAAGCCTTAATATATTCAGCTAACTAAGCCTTCCGTCTCAGGGGTCTAATAGAAGTTTTACACTCTGCATTAGCCTTATTGTATGCAAGCCTCAGCAACGGTGGACAACCATCCTCCTGCTGGGCTGCTGCCTCACAGATCAATCTCAGACTGCCGTACTAGCAGTGAGCAAGGCTCCATAGGTGTGGGACATGCTGAGCCAGGCATGGGATACAATCTTCTGGTGTGCTGTTTGCTAGGACAGTTGGAAAAGCACAGTATTTGTGTAGGAGTGTCCTGTTCTTGCATACAATGAGGCTTGAGCTGCTTGAGCTGCTTTTTCAGTTATGGCTTTATACACAGCCTCTTGGAGCCGAGCAATAGACTCAATATATGATTCTTTAGGTCCCTGTCAGACAGAACTGAAGGAAGGATATTTTCACCCTAAAACATTTATCCTTTCCCATGCTCATAAGCATACAGAGCGCAGTTGAGCAACAGCAATATCCTCCATTACTGCTTGATTTGCTAGTCAACCCCAATCAGGTCTGACTCCCATTAACTGTTCAAAGAAAATAGTCACAGGTGGTTGTGTTCATGTATTTTCCCTTGCCTGAGTTTGAGCTTCATCAACCCACCAGGCTTTAAACTGAAAGTACTGAGCTGGAGTGAGAACAGATTTTGTTAAAGTATCCCAATCATATGGTATTAATCTATTATCAAGAGAAAGATTTTTAAATAAAGTTTGCAAAAAAGGAGAGTTTGGCCCATATTGACTAATGGCTTGCTTGAATTCCTTTAACAGCTTAAAAGGAAAGGTAGTCCAATTAGCTATATTCTGTCCTCCCTGCTGGATTATAGTTATGGGAAATTGCCATGCTTCAAGGTCTCCCTTGGCTCTAGCCTTTTGAATAGAATTTTGTATAGCACCACCAATGTCTCCAGGTTTTAATGTTGCAACTACAGGAGCAGTACGGTTTGTAGCTAATTCATCTTCTTGCCCGTTAAGGGGAGAGAGAGGAGATGGTCTTTCACTTAATTCAGCAAGTGGTGTTGATGGGTTAGTAAAACACACTTTTTTCAGTTTCCCTTTCTTTTCTTTAATTTCCTCCATTTTCTGTTCCCCACATTCAGAATCTGAATTTAATTCTTTACACTTGTCCTCCTCTTCCTCATCTGAATCTGCCTCATCATCTGTTTGAAATGGCTCAAGAGCTGCTTTTATAAGCACCCACATTGACCAAATCAAGACTGGAATTTTTGCTCCATCTTTATATGCTTTTTATTTTTTTCAAAAGAAGAAATCATGAAGGTTTATTATAGAAAATATAGACATTACAGAAAATTATTTAAAAGGAAATAAGAATCACTTAAATGCAACTTCTGAGAGGTAATACTATTAACACATGGCATGCAACACAACAATTTTTCTTTGTGTATAATCATATGATTTTTTAAGTGTTTGATACAGAATTAGAATCACACTTTTCAAACTGTTTTTTAGCCTGCTTTTCTCCTGTAATTATAAATGATTAACATTTCATTTGTCTTTATGCAACAGTTCATAGAGTGGACTCTGGATCTAGCCTATCTGAATTTGAATCTTGGCTCTGTCACTTACTGTGTGACCCTTGGGCATGTCCTTTAACTGAAATAGTTTCTGCAAATTCCTCATCTTTAACATAGGGATAATAATGGTTCTTTTTTATTTCCCAGGTGTCTCGGCTGGTTTGAGAAATAAAGGGAAAGAGCACAAGAGTGAGATATTTAAAGCTGGGTGTCCGGGGGAGACATCACATGTTGGCAGGATCTGTGATGTTCCCCAATCTGTAAAACCAGCAAGTTTTTATTTGCATAATTTATCCCAAGCTCTCATACACACCTTTGTTACTTGTTCCGTGGTAAAAGTATCAAAGTTCAATTGGGCATAAGTATCAGAGGAACTATCAGAGCCTGTGAACTGAGCTTGTGTAACTAGAATGCCATTAGTCCAATTTAGTTGAGCCTGCAAA